GACCCTGTTGCAAATTTTACTATAATTGGACATACCCTTAAATATGATCCCATTGGGTGTAAACCTGTCTATATTTGGCTTAACAACGACAGTACCGGACAGTATGCGGTTGGGGAGGGCGTCGTTAACCATAATATGTTGCGATAGGAACCGGTGTTTGGGCTTTAGTTGGTAGTCGTGATGGTCGAACCGGTTGTTAACATACCATTCCATTACGGAACAGATCATACCGTAGGGCAGGAACTGCATGAAGAAGTTTATGTAACGCCGGATAAAACTGCTGTCAAACGGCTTTCCATTGGGACCCACTCTGTATGATATCCACGTGCCCGTGCGAGTCGATAAATATACCTGGTCGGTGTGTTTTAAATTATTTAATATAAATATTGATTAAATGTTTATCATAAAACAGTATAAATATCAATTTCTGATTAGTGTTTATTTTAGTAACAAGTAAGTTTTATTTTTTAAGCTTGAGTACTGTATATGTCATAAAAATTATCTATTAAAATAAAACTTATGAATTATTAAAAATTATTTTATGTACTGTGTTCAATGATATTTTAAAAAGTAATACAGGTAAAAATATTTAGAATTAAAAGCTTACTGCATTTATTATTTTTATAGCATAATAATATTGGATAATTTTAAATTTTGTCAAACCTGTCCATAAGCAATACTATTTATAAATCTAGCTATATTAGATATAAGTTACTTTATAGCTTGAAATGAATTCATTAGATTTAGTAATAGGTTTTGTTAAAATATATTTCAATGTGCTAATGTATCAGAATATTAATACACAATCGACATGTAAAAACAGGTTTTTCGTATAAGTGATTGATAGGGGAAAGGGCTACAGGTGTAGCACAAAAATTAGTATATTTCTATGGAAAAGATAACAAATTACCTAATGTTAGATAACAGAAATATTTTCACTTTAAACAAGCGTTGAATATATTTGACTCAAAATTGATTTCTTTGTTTTAAAGTGTTTTTCTAAAATGTCGTCAAAGGATAGCAAATACTCTTCAGACAAATACAACTCAAACAACACATCAAATAATAATAATAATTGGAAACAAAGTTTCGGTCAAAACAAGTCGACTAACGATACGAAAAAGTTTGACTCCAATAGTAGTAAATGTATTGAATGCGGAGAAAATAAAAAGTGTGCCAAAACTGGTAACTATTGTACGAAAACGACTAATTGGTGAGACTACCGGTGCTCGGAGTGGACACATACCTTATCGGACACGGCGGACAACTCAACGGCGGCGTCACCACCAGAGTT